AAAAATCTGTAATATATCAAATTCTATAGTATGCTCACATAGGTTTGATTTACTTAGTTGATTTACCACCCCAGTACAGTACGTATCAGATTATCAGATACGTGTGATCCGCTTACATAAGCACGCAAACATATATTTATTGGTTAGATATTTCGAATTCAAGAGTTCTAGATAGCTTCGCCAACTGTTTGGCTCAGCATTAACATTTCCTAAAAAGTCTGGTTGCGCAGCTACGTTTAATGATTGTACCACTTTCTTGTTAGTATTAGGCAATTTCTGAATTTTCGTTATCACCAAATTTACTAGTCGTAATTAACTTTAGTAAGCTAATAAATTCAAAGATAAACCTGTAGTTAAAACTGTATAAAGCAAGTGTTCTTCGTTCTGCCCAAAAAATGGCAAAATCTTGCGCATTGAACGTGCACAATTCATAGCAATGATGCTAAAATTCCGTTAAAACTTATTGAATTTAATATAGATATTTATTTATTTATTTAAAAGAAACAATAATATTTATATATTTCAGTATTTAAAAAAATAATAATATAATAATATTTATATATATTTAAAAGAAATTATAATGTTTAAAATATGCCGTAAATTCAAATAGCAGGCATGGGCGTTAATTCGAATATAGGCCAAATTAAGCTTAATCAGGCCAAAATTCGAAATAACGCCCATGCCTGCTATTTCGAGAATTTATGGCACTAATTGTACAAATAAAAAGGTTCTTTAATTGTGTAGATATTTAATATTAAGCTAGAACTAAAAAAGATAAGATTCTATACTATGATTCTTTCCATAAAATAATATTACGACAATAAGCTATTTATTTAAAATTTCTACATTTGAGACGTTTGGGATGTTTTGAACATCGTGAATATTTTCGAATTTTTTCTAAATATTCGACTGCAAACATTACTGAATATTCATCTGCTTTGATGCCTGCTATTTCGATTAAATTTTGATTCCATGGCCAAGAACCAGCTAATGGAACTTTCCCATTTAATCTTTTCCAAGCTATAAAATATGGTCTCCATTTTGAAGGCCATACATATGAATCGATTGAATTAATTGCTGCTGATATGGACATTTTGCAAAATAAATTTGTTTCAATAGACTTCCTTTCTTCGTTTGCCCACAAACAGTCACTAGATAATAGTTTTATCCAAATTATTCCTAATCTTGCATTAAACATATCTTTAAGCTGATTAAATATATCATTTCTTGTCAAACATTTATAATTAATCCATTGTGCTATAATGGTACTTAATTTTATAATTTCTCTATTGGTGGGAGGTTGAAGATAAGATGTATGCCAAATTTTTGACAAGAAAGTCCTTACAATTTGTTTTCTACCTTCAGATGAAAGTTTCTTTTCATTTGTACTTTTGTTTATTTTGTCTACTTTATGTATAGCTTCTTCAATATCCTTGATCTTTTTTTGCCATAAATCCTTTGCATTTCGTCCTTTTTTATCAATATAGAATCCCAAGACTCTATTTTGTTGGTTTTCTTCAAGCTCAGGATACTTATCCTCTGGTAGTATTGAATTTAACGCTTCATTTGTTAACGATATAAGTATAGATTTATCTTCATTTACTTCTGCATTGGAAGCAGCCTTGTATTGTTTTAGTAGCCAGGAATATGTGTTCCAGTCATCAAGAGAGCCTAATCCAATAGTTAGGTCATCTGCATAGGCTGAAACTTTAAATTTAAAATCGGATATTGACACACCAGTCAAATTTTGATTTAATAATCTTAAAAATGGCTCAAATGCCAAAAGATATAATAAAGAGGAGATCGGGTCTCCTTGCCTAACTCCACTTCTTATTTTAAATGATGTTGAGATGATATCATTATCAGATATATGTGCAGTCTGTTTAGAAAAAAGACTTTTAAACAATTTTATAAAAGATTGATTAAAATTCATTTTTTTAAATATTAATAAAAGAAAGTCATGATTGACTCTGTCATATGCTTTTGACTGGTCAATAAAAAGTAACCAAGCTTGCTTGGTCTCATTATGTTGGTACCTCATGGTAAAGATTACATCTAAAGCCGCATCATATGATGTTCTACCAGCGATATAGCCATGTTGATAGTTTCCTATTACATCTTTACATATTTTATTTAGTCTGCATGACATTATTTTCATAAAGATTTTTGCATCGCTGTTTACAATAGCTATCGGCCTCCAGTTATTAATGTTATCTAGGCCTTCAGATTTTTTTTGAACTAAATTTATAATGCTTCTACACCATGAAGCTGGAAATTCACAGGTACTTAAAATTTCATTAAAAACTTGTTTCAAAATAGGAATAAGTTCATTTTGAAAATGTTTATAAAACTCATGAGTTAACCCATCAATTCCGGGTGCTTTTCCGGCTTTTAAATTGGTGATTGCTTCAGAAATTTCCTCAACTGTAATTTCCTTTGTCAATAATTGATTTTGACCTGGTGTAACTTTTGGTAAGTTGTTTGTTATTATATTTGCAACAGAAAAATCATTAGATTTTTTTTCAAATAATTTTTTATAATGATTTTTTATATATATCAAAATATCAGCAGGGTTTTCTGAAGGGGATGATGGATCTCGTATTTTTAATGTTGACTTTTCCTTGCCTTTTATCCATCCATCTTTAATTAATTCTTCTTTTATTTCAGGGTTTAAATGAGTTAAATCAATATCAAGATCTGAAAATAATTTATTAAGAATTGTGTTGCTTGTTTTTTTATTTAACTTTTTTTGCATAGTTTTTTTGAGGGCCGGGTGTGTGCGAAATATGGATTGAATATGCATCTTAATGTTATTCCACTCCGAAGCTGTAACTTTACTTATGCTGGTTAGCTTTTGTTGAATTTCTTTTGTAATACTGGAAACTTCAAGTAATTGTTGATCCAATCTCCAAGTTGATAATTCAAGAGTACATTCTACCAACGGTTGTTTAAACAAGTTAAAGTGTGATTCTGTCTTTCGACAAAAATGAGCATTGTCATTATCAACAAAAATATAATCCAGATTAGTCACCCTTTTTGTTTGGTTGTTTTGCATATCCGGATAAAAATTAATGAATGATATATCTTCAGTATTTGTAAAATTTGACATTATTTGATTAAATTTCTTTCTGGTGATACTAAAGGTGTCTAAGTTAAAGTTGCCGACTAAGATATTGATAACATCATCTCGTTTGGATGGAGTCCATTTATTTAAAAAATTTTCTCTATTAGCAAAATTAGAAGGGACACATATATTAGTTACTTGGAAAGTCCAATTTTTGTATTTGAAGCTAGCTCTGCTTCCGTATTCAATCTCTTCAAAATTTTCAATGATTATATTCTTTTTGCCGGCTAAGATTGCAGTTTTTGATGTCCATTCTGAATCGTATTCCCATAATGGTTTTTCCTTTATATAATCGATATTTTGTTTTCTTAAATTGGTTTCCTGAAGAAGAATTACATCAAATCTGGGATTACTGGACAATTGAGATAGTAAATTTTGACATTTTCGTTCATCGTTAAGTCCTTGAACATTAAGTGTCGCAAAAGTAATAGTTTTGTTTTTTTGAATCATTGTAGAAATTTAATTTTAAAAATTAGAATTATAGTATGAGAAAATTGTTGTCTGTAAGGAATTCCATAGCCTTATTATACTTGTTTTTTTGCTTATAGTTGGCAGTATAAATTAGGACGGCCGGAAATTGCAATACTGCGAATATTTCGGCCATGCATGTGGATGTGCGCATGATCTATACTAAACAGAATAATATAAATTTAAATAATTTGTATATTGCGGAATCCACAGCAAAAGAATTATATAATCCTATACGTCTTTTTTCTATAGGTGTCGGAAATACTTTTCAGATCATGTTATGCCTGATATTGGCGCATTATCAGGTTTTTCCGTTAAAGTTAACTTTTCAATAATTTGCCTAATTAAGAAATTTTATCAATGCATCACCGAATATTTATGATAATTACACGGACTTCCTTTTCCGGAATAGCATGCGCCTCCGGAAATTTTATTTCATATCATACGTACTGTATGTACAGAATTCTTTATATGCTATATATGTGAGTAATGCAGAATAAAAATCTGACTATTTTTATGTATTTGATAAGCTCTTTTAATAGAATTTATTTTTATAGCATTTAAAAGTAGATTCTTGTAATGTTAAATGAATATATGCAAAAGATTTATAGGCTTACGTTTGGTGTCACACATGTTTTCTAGATTTACATTTGGACTAATCTCTTTATTATATTGTCACAGTTTAAAACTTAAACTATGCAGAGATGTAGCTAGATGGTAATAGGTAGTAACGAACTGAATATTATAGTTTGTGGCTGAAGCTGGGAAACAGAACATTGAGGCTCCTAAAGTTTATAAGTGGAACAATGGTACAGAATAATGAATTAGGACGGTATAGGGCTTGGAATTTAAGCCTGACAGTGCTAACCAAAGTTGTATCATATGATAGTAAATAGTTCATTAAGAATATACTTTGGAATATAAAAACTCTGTTTTTTCCTATACACAACGTTGATTTTTCGTTTCGCATAACCTGGTGTTCTAAAAAAATACGATCGATGGGTCTTTTTTTTTTTTTTTTTTTTTATCAATCTACTGTAAATTAATAGGCTCATGATCACATCTAAGGCCATGCAAAGTTAATTTTTCGGGTTACATAACATGGAATCAGAAAATTGGGTCACTATTCTTTTTATTTTCTCTACTGGTTTTATCAGATAATTCTGGGAAATTAAGGTCTCTATCGGGTTACATCGGATAAATTTATGAAAATAAATAGCAAAATACTGTAGAATAAAAAAATTTTTTTTGAAAAAATAAAAAAGTGGGTCGACGGTTATGCAAAACGGAAAATCAACTTAGCGTGGCCTTAAAGCTGGTGGCTAAGGCTTGGTTCCTAGTGTTATGACAAAAGCTTAGAAATGTAGAGAGACAAAGCTTAGAACAACGGTCCAGAAAAATGAAATAGGTGGTATAGAAATATATAATATACTTTGAAAGTATCAAAGCGCTGCTTTTTCATTCTTCTGACAAAGTAGGGCTGGATTTCTTTTATTATAGGTGACCTATTAAAAAAATATATTGTTATTCAATTGATCTTAGAGTAAAGTCATCCATACTAAAAGAGATACTATGTCATTAATTAATAGACATTGTCATGGATAAAAGTACCATTTGAAAATCAAGAAGGCTTGGACGACGCATGAGATTTGTTGGCCAAAGTGAACTGGAAAAGATGAGTCAGTGAGGTGAGTTACAGGATGTAAGAGGCTTATTATGACCACAGATGATTACAACATTTATACGTAAGGTTGAATGAAGCTGTCGCGATAGCCACGTGATTTGTAGGCACGTGTTGATCGAATATCGTGATTGCGTAATCCTTATCGGGTGATAGCGATCTAATTGAAATAAGGTGTACCTCATAGGCAGACATTCGTATGATTGGCTGTTTAAATCAAATTAATTTTACATTATTTATACAGTTTAAAGTACTTTTTAAAAAAAAAGAAAACTACGAAGAATAAACAAAAAAGAAG